TTAATATCCCACGTCGGTTGGGAAGGTGAACGAAGCATCTTTTAGAAGGGTGCGGAAACCTCTCCCTATCAAACGTGTTTTAAAAACTTCGAGGAAAACTCTGCATAGACTAAAAAGTGATTCGGTGAATTAGCAGTAGTAAACGCCACACGATTTCCTGATCAATGGAGGATGAGCTAAGAAATAACCTTGGCTGTCTCTCCAAATAGAGAATTTTGAGAATGATTAAGATCGGAGGAAGATATTTAACACTAGGAAATGCAAGGAATGGCTCTTAAAAAATTTTTAAATGCTATTAAATGCATTAAATAAGTGGGACATGGTGTGACACTTACTTGTCTGTTGAGCCACATGGATACTTACCAAGAGCACGGTAGTAAACGCCTTTGTGTATTTGTCAAAAACATAGCAAGTCTGCAAGTTCTCGGAGAACAACCTGTATTTGTCAAAAACATAGCAAGTCTGCAAGTTCTCAGAGAACAACCTGTATTTGTCAAAAACATAGCAAGTCTGCAAGTTCTCGGAGAACAACCAGCAACAAATCCACTTAAAACAAGGAAAAACTCCATTTTTTTTAATTGTAAATGGATGGCCTTAGAATAGTGGATTCGGCTATGAGACATCTCTAAGTATTCTTACAAGAAACAAATTGATCTTTAAAAGATGTTATAAAATTAGAGCCAATTTAACATGTTGCATGTGCCCCCTAGAACCATATGAATATGATTCTACAAAAAGACCGTTTTGCATGGAAATTAAGATACATGTGAGATCCCATATCAGTCGGAGAGGAAAACGAAGCATTTTTTATAAGGGTGTGGGAAACTAGTAGACGCATTTTAAAAATCTTGAGGGGAAGCCCGAAAGGGAAAGCCTAAAGAGGACAATATCTGCTAGCAATGGCCTTGGGCGGTTACAAATGGTATCAGAGCCAGATACAAGGCAATGTGCCAACGAGGAGGCTAAGCCCCGAAGAGGGGTGGACACGAGGCGGTGTGCCAGCAAAGACGCTAGGCCCCGAAAGGGGATGAATTAGGGGGCCCCATATCGATTGAAGAAGGGAACGAGTACCAGCAAGGACGCTAGACACCAAAGGGAGATGGATTCTGGGAATCCACATCGATTGGGGAGGAGAACGAAACATTCTTTATAAGGGTGTGGAAACCTCTCCCAAGAAAACGCGTTTTAAAAACCTTGAGGTGAAGCCTTAAAGGGAAAGCCCAAAAAGGATAATATCTGCTAGCACTTGTGCAAGGAGAAATGTATCAATAAAGAGACAAATATATCAATAAAGAGACGACTTCATGAATGTATTACAGAGAGAATATTACCCATTTCAAATGTAGTGATTAGTGAAATGTAATATGTAGTCCGAGTCGAGACAAATATACATGAAAGAAATTGTGTACCTTTAAAACTAAAAAGATTAGACGGAGATGTCATGTTTTGATGAAGCTTCGTGCTACAAAAATAAAAAGCTGAAGGCAAGGCTCTTTTCAGTGTCTCGACAACGTCTACCTATCTTTGCCCCATCTTCTCTAACAAGAATCTTATTAGCTATTATCTTCAAAGCCCTGAAATTAAAACTCTTGTCAGCTAATATCATCATGTTTCTTGAAAGACAAAGGAAGGTTCCCATGACATGAAATAAGTAGAAGAGAAAACCAGAGTGACCACAGCACATGATCTTGTTCTACCATGCTACCCTTCAATGTCAAACATAACTACAATACAAAATTTAGTCGGCTAATACTAGATATTTTCATCTGTTTAGGAATTACACCAAAAGTCACAACTAAAAACAACTCCAGATTTGATCCTATAATGGTTTTGTTTGAATTTGGCTGTTGAAGCCACGTATGTGTAATGAATAGTGTCATAGTTGAATGATCTAACTTGTGATGCAATCAATAATACTCTGAAACTGTTTGCATAATGAAGTCCACGTAGAAAAATGAAGCTAGGATTTATATGGTCCTAGATTGCTCAACACCAGTCTGTCATAAATATCTAGAGAAAAGAATGCAAATGTAGATTAAGGATGGAAAATAAACCGTTCATATAAAAATACAATCTCAAATATAACATGAAATGAAAATTGAAATGACAAAAATTTGGAGTACCTTTTTTGTATTTTGCAACTTGAATATTTTCAAGTAAAGAGAAGAATTTTCATGGAATAAGTCTCTTCATTTTCTAAAGACAATATATTGAATTTTGTATACATCATCTGGGGAGGCAGTCTATCTCTCCCACAAAAAAGTGTATAAAGACAATATATTTGATCCTCATAACTAATCAGGCAAATATATCTTCTTTCATGACTCGTTCAAACGAGAGATCAGACGAATAAATGTATGATCGCTGCAAGGAATAGTGAGGCCTCCCATAGGATGATCATAACCAAATTCTTCTTCAACTTGATTTAGCAGGTCCTTGAAAAATGGTTCGTTCAAGTAAGCTACTGGAATCAAAAACCGCTTCTTTTGGCTTTCTCCTACATAAACCGCGCAATAACCTTTGCGGATTGCCGAAGATCCATGGTGGGTTGTTAGAGAAGAAAGTCTAAGATTTTGCATAGCATTAACCATTTTTTCCAAGCGGAAACCCATGGTTGTTCTTCCCTCAAGAAGAAGTCAGAGTCGAATTTAAGAATCTAGAAGTTGCACGATAGCACTTTGAGAGAGAGAGAGAGAGGAGATTTGAGTTGCATGGGAATTGAAAACAAGTATGTATATATAGACTAAAAAGGGAGACGTGGCCACTAGCTTGATCTAAGAAATGAGTGGTGACTAGCGAGACATCTATGAATGGGGCCAACTAGGAGGAATGTACTTGTGAAGTCTACTGTACCACATACTTGTGAAGTATAGTGACGCATATTAGTTTGTAACCGTCCAAGCCCATCGCTAGCAGATATTGTCCTCTTTGCATTTTCTCTTTCGGGCTTCCTCTCAAGGTTTTTAAAACGCGTCTACTAGGGAGAGGTTTCCACACCCTTATAAAGAATGTTTCGTTCTCCACCCCAACCGATGTGAGATCTCACATATAGTGTACTCTAGATAACAATCTTCATAACAATCTTCAGCTACTTGGAAAATAATATTGGGATAACAAACTCACCTAACATTTTGGGAAAACCAGCCAATGGAGGACCCGTTCGAGCTGAAAATTGTAGCGAAAACTTGTTAGTTATGTTAAGCACATTACAAAAGCGATCGATAATCGCTTTTGTTAGAGGCATGCTTTAGACATAGAAACTGTTCCCCTAATTCTTTGTCTTACCAACATATAACAAGGAGGCACACTCATTTAATTGCATATTTTGTTTCTGTCTACATGGAATGAAGGCCTATCTAATTAAAAAATCTAAACCAAAGGGCTGAAGATATGAACAAAACAAAGTTGGTAGCTAACCTTTGGTGACATATCAGTACAGCTGTTGGAGTCTCACAAACCAAATCCATAAGCCTAAACGACAAGGAGATTCAAGATAATAAGAACAAAACTAGAAGTGGTGAAAAATTTACCTGATGCAGACAGTTTGGCCAACTTTGGTTTCTTTTCCACATTCTCCTAGTCATAGTAGAATGTAAAAGCATTCAAAATCAGAGCGATTTTTCTCTTTGAATTTCATCAAGGTTTTCATATTATCTTTTGGATGAATAGATTTATTCTAAGGAAGAAAAAAAATGAGGCTGATGTCTCACTAAGGTATTCAAGAGGGATGAGAGCTAACCTTTACCTTAGCAGCAAGTTAGAAAGATAACTTTAATGTATCCCCACCCGAACACACAGCTTATGTCAACTTTATGGAACTCCCATGTGCTGACATCGTATCTAATCTGTGAGATCCCATATAAGTTGGAGAGGAGAACGAAACATCATTTATAAGAGTATGGAAACCTCTTCCTAATAGACGCGTTTTAAAACCATGAGGCTAATGACGATACGTTACGGGCAAAAGCAGACAATATTTGTTAGCGGTGGGCTTGGACTGTTACAAATGGTATCGGAGCCAAACACCGGGCGGTGTGCCAGCAAAGACGTTGGGCCCCCAAGAAGGGTGGATTGTGAGATCCCACATCGGTTGGAGAGGAGTGTGGAAACCTCTCCTTAATAGACGTGTTTTAAAACCATGAGGCTGAAGGCGATACGTAACGGGTCACAGGGGACAATATCTGTTAGTGATGGACTTGAGCTGTTACATAATCGATTATCGTGCCATGACCAAATAGGTTTCTTTGACATTGAAACTGTGAAAATCTTGCTGCGTTTATGTGAGGGAAATCAATTTCGATCTCCATTATCATAGTGTCTAGCAGTGTTGTCAATGAAAAAAGAAAAAGAAAAGGAAATCACTTAGATCAAGGGGTTAATGGAAACAGGCTCTACTATTATTACACTTCCATCCTAATCGTTTCACTAAAAAAAGCCCTGCAGGTCCATCCATATCAACTGGCATGACAGTTGATCAAAATAGATTTGAATACCTGTACAAAGAAATATAAGAATAACCAGAAACAATCATTTTAACATATAATTTACCAATACTAATACAATTATTATCTGCTTGATGTTACCAATACTTGTACAAAGACAAGGAACTGAAGTTTTTATATCAAAGGCCACAAAAATATTAATAGCAAAAGAAAAAGTTATATGCAAGAGAATGATACAAGATTTACATGGTTCGTGGACTATGTTCTAATTTATGTAGACTTTATATAATCTAATTTCTAGTAACAAGATGATATTACACCAGTCCTACGAAACTATTTGTCGAATGAAGTTCATGCAGAAGAGTCGCATTGGTATATATCTACTTTTATGCTAACAAAAAGGAATGCACAGAAGTTGAAACGAAGAGAGAATACGTAAAGAGAAGAACTTGAATGAAATAACTTCATTTTCTAAAATTTGTATATGTAATCCAGTACACATCATTTGGGAAGGCATTTTATCTCTCCCTCAAAAAAAATGTATATAAGAATGGTACTATCTAATCTACAAGATTGTCTAACTAATATTCTCGTTCACGCCTAATTCAAATGAGAGAGGAGATCAATGAATTTATCATCACTGCAGGGAATGGTGAGACCTCCCATAGGGTGATTGTAACCAAATTCTTCTTCAGCTTCACTGAGCAAGTCCTTGAAAAATGGCTGATTCAAGTATGCTATTGGAATCACAAACCGCCTTTGGCTCTCTCCTACATAAACTGCACAATAGCCTTTCCGGACTACAGACAATCCTTGGTCTGTTGCTAGAGAAGAAAGTCCTAGATTTTGCACAGCATTTACAATTTTTTCCAGACGAAAACCCATGGTTTTGTTATTCAGAACAGAAAGTAAAAGAATTTAGAATTGAAGAAACTTGAGGTTTCCCAATAGCAATTGAGAGAACGAGAAAACTTTGTGGGTGGTTGAAAGTTTGAGATCTGAGTTGCTTGGGTCTTAAAAACAAGTATATATATAGAAGAAAAATGGTGACGTGGGCAATAGTTTGCTCTAAGAAATGAGTGGTGAGAAATCTCTGAATGGGACCAACCAGAAGGCAAGTACTTGTGAAGTATACTGTATCACATGGTCCTGTCTCCCATTATCTTCAGGAACTCAGGAAATAATATTGGGTAAACAAAGTCACCAAACTTCTTGGGAAAATCAGCCAGTAAAGGACCAATTTTAGCTGAAAATTGAGGCCAAAGTAAAAACTTGTTAGTTATGCTAAGCACGTAGCATAAGCAAGTTCATGACTTTTGTTAGAGATATGCCTGAAACATGAAAACCATTTCCCTTTTTTTTTTTTTTTTTTTTCCTTGTCAACATACAACAGGAGACCCATTTAATGGCATAGATTATTTCTGTCTATATGTATTGAATATAAATCTAACTTTTTAAAAAAAATTCTAAGGTATCTGGCTGAAAATAGAACAAAACCGAACATGGCAGCTAAGTCTTTGCCTTTGTGATACATCAGTACAGCTATTGGAGTCCCACAAATGATGAACCTGAATGAGACAGTAAGGTAGATCACAGTCAGAAGTAGCAAAAAAATCTACTGTTCTTGATGCAGATTGTGAGAACCTACTTTTGTATTCTTGTTTTATTTTTTTATTTTTATTTTTAGTGTGTTTCAAACAAGCCTATGTGAAGTTCACATGAAAGCTGACCTACATTGTTTACTCATAATGAGTGGATATTGGCATATTACATAAGATTCTTTTTAAATCGAATAAGCATCTACATAGGAATCAAGCATCTTTTCTTCAAAAATTAATAAAGATACAGAATAATCATTTCCAAGAGTATTTCTTTTGAAATATCATCATTCTCAAGAGTCGGTTAACTGAAGAATATAAAAACATCAAAGATGGTGCAAGCTTACTCCGACAACTTTCAAGGTTTAGTACGGTGTTGGTACACCAGATAAAAATTGTTGCTTATGGAAGACATGTCATGTAGAAAACGTACTTCCTGTTTCGTAGAGCACCAATAGATACGAACCGCTTGAGTAGTGATAATGTTGCTAATGGAAGAATCAAAGAGGATTTGAAATGCTTATATGAGAACTAAAAACAATTAGTTGTGCATAGTTGAGTACCTTATGTACAAAACAAAATGTATTTGGGAAGGTCTAGGCCCCGAGAGGTGTCACTATAAAAATGAAGATTATCAATACTTCTATTTTCAAGTCGAGTCCATGAAGTGTAATGGCTATAATATGTGTTTATAACAGAAAAGAAAAGTAAATAACCCTTATGCAAAAGAAGAAAAAAAAGAGAAGACCTTGCATGGAATGAATTGTTTTCATTTTCTAAAATTAGAATATGAAGTTCTCTATACATCATTGGGAGAGGCATTTCTTTTATCTCCACCTACAAAAGAGCATATATAAGAATGGTACTATCTAGTTTATTAGGCCATGTCTAACAAATACATCTTATTTCAGGACTCATTCAATTGGGAGATGAGATCAACGAATGTACCATCGATGTAGGGAATAGTGAAGCATCCCATAGGGTGACTGTAGCCAAATTCTTCTTTGGCTCGACTTAGTAAGTCCCTGAAAAATGGTTGATTACAGTAAGCTACTGGAATCACAAACTGCTCCCTTGACTTTGTCCGATGTAAACTGCACAATAATCTTTCCAGACTATTGAAGATCCGTGGTTTGTTGTTAGAGAAGAAAGTCTAAGACTTAGCACAATATTTACAATTTTCGCCAAATGAAAACTCACAGGTTTGTTCTCCACAAGAGGAATTCGAATAATTTTTAATTGAAAAAACCTTGAAGTTGCACAACAGCTAGAGAGAAAGCTTGGTGACTGGTTGAAAGTTTGAGATGCAAGTTGCATGGGGATTCAAAATCATGTATGTAAGTTGAAAAGGGTGATGTGGGTAATAGCTTGCTTTAAGAAATGAGTGCTAGATATGTTTGAATGGGGCCAACTAGGAGGCAAGTGCTTGTGAAGTCTACTGTATTGCATGATCCTGTCTAGGTAATAATCTTCAGCTACTTGGGAACTAATATTGAGATATCAGTCACCGAAAACCCATGGAGGACCCATTTGCGTAGAAAATTGTGGCTTGGTGATAGTTCGTTTATTATGTTAATCACATACCTTAAGCAATAGTCATCACTCTTGTTACGGACATGCCTAAGACATCCAAGACATCTCAACCATTCCCCTCATTTTGTGCTATGCCAACATAGAACAAGGAGCACACTCATTAAATGGCATAGATCCTTTCTGTCTAAATGAATTGAAGATTTATCTGATTAAAAAATCAAAACCACTTGGATGAAGACAAGAACAAAACTAATCTTGGAAGGTAAGCCATTGTCACAACAAGAGGGAAGCGATAGCCATCACTCTTGTTAAAGACATGCCTAAGACATCTAGGACATCTCAACCATTCACCTCATTTTGTGCTATGCCAACATACAACATGGAGAAAACTCATTAAATGGCACAAATTTTTTCGGTCTAAATGAATTGAAGATTTATCTGATTAAAAAATATAAACCATCCGGCTGAAGACATGAACAAAACCAAACTTGGAAGGTAAGCCTTTGACACAACATATAAATACAGCTATTTGAAGTCCCACAAAACAAATTGAATGAATCTAAACTACAAGGAGATTAGATTATAGACATATGTGGATAAAAATATACATGATTGTGGAATTATGTCTTCTTCCTTTTTATTATTTTTTATTTGGAACAAGCCTATGTGAAGTTCACATGAAAACTGACCTACAATGTTTGCTTAAAATGAGTGGGTATTTGAACATTAAATGAGATTCTTTTAAGAACAATAAGAAACTATGCATGAATCAAGCACCTCTTCTTCAACAATTAATTAAGATGCCGAAAGTCCATTTCCATGGCTAATGATTTTTTTTGAAAAATTACTAGTCTCAAGTTCTGGATTAACCTCATAATGTGATAACATCAAAATTGTGCAAGCTTGATTCAATAACACTTGAGGTTGAGTACAGTGTTTGTAGGTCGAGATATAATTGTTTCTTAGGGCAGATAATTTCATGTAGTAGGATACGCAAATTCCTGTTTGGTGGTGCATCAATGGATATAAACCAGTAAAGTTGTGATGTTGTTACTAGTGAAAGAGTTAATTAGGTAGGATTGGAAGTGCCCACATGAGAACCAAGGAAATTTATGATACATAGTCGAGTATCTAATGTACTTTCGTGGTGGTCTAATTTGTTAGCTATGCATTGGGCCAGTGATGCGGAACAAGTGATCAAAAGTTTCTCATCAAATGGTTTTCCTTTTTGGTCTATCTATATTCTTGGTCACAGCTTTTGGCTTTCTGTTTTCCTAGACCACTTGTTATCTACTCTATTATCTTCCACTCAAACTAGTGGGTCTTTGCTACCAGAAGTCAGGCCAAATGAGAAAAAAAGTATGTTCCAACCAATTTGGCAAGTCCACGAGATCCTTGGATAAAGTAGGACTAGCAGACTCCTGTTTTGATATTATTTCGTTCTCACCTAGTCTTTCTCACTCTATATATAATTCAAAACCCATTAACAACCACTCTCCCAACTCAAATCACAGAGAAATTCCCATCCAAGTATATAGAAGTTTCCTAGTTCAAATCAATATCAAGCATGCTACCACCTAGATTTGCTCATTATGCTTTCAACTCAAGCAAAATTGAATATGAGAATCTGTTTGCCATCAATTCTTCGCAACATCAAACAAATTCTCAAACACTGAGTGCTTCTACCCAAAATAAGTTTAATAATCCCCAAAGATGAAGTTGCAGTTTTTTTTTTTTTTTTTTTTTTTT